TTGTCTGTCAATCATTCTTTCACATAAAATGGTGTTCTCTGAAAACAAGCAGTTGGTCAAGCTTGTAACTCAGTTGCTCAAGCACTTCTTAAGACAGCCAGTAAAAGTGTTTTATGTGTAATTCCCATATTGTCACAATTAATTATTTATATTGTTTTATCAAGGATGTTTTTAACTGATCCTGTCATTTTTTAAAAACATGAGTACAGGGTGGTAAAGAATACAGTGACCATACAGTGACAATTTGTGTAATTTGTGTGTTGCCACTGCCTTGGTTTATACATTGCCAGCATTTTTACCCACCATTGCATTTGCACAATCATTGCAAATGTGAACACAATGAAAAATGTAGATGAAGTCTTAATGTTATTGTGAAAATGGTTTTGAGCTCACAGATCCTCTGAAAGGATTTCAGGGATCCACCCCTTGGATTCCCTATGGGTCACTCTGTGAGAACCACAGGTTTATAGGAATGTTCCATTTATTAAATTGTCACAAGTGTTCATGCTCTTAAAGCCCTAGGTGTATGTTTCCTTGAATTTGGTAGCTGTTTAAAATGATGAATTGCACTATTAGTTATGGTAACGTTCTGCTGGGGTGATGACTGAGGTCATTCTCTTTGTTTCTCTTTCTTCAGGTGACCTCGTGATTCTCGATGGCACTCCCACTGCAGGCTGGCTGCAGGGCCGAAGCTGCTGGGGTGCACGGGGCTTCTTCCCATCGTCGTGTGTCCGCGAGCTCTGCCTCTCCTCACAAAGCCAGCAGTGGCACTCCCAGAGTGCCCTGCTTGAGATTCCTGAATATTCCATGGGACAAGCCCGGGCCCTGATGGGGCTTTCTGCCCAGCTGGATGAGGAGTTGGACTTCAGGGAAGGGGATGTGATTACCATTATTGGAGTTCCTGAACCAGGCTGGTTTGAAGGGGAGTTAGAGGGCCGAAGAGGCATTTTTCCAGAAGGTTTTGTAGAGCTTTTGGGGCCCCTGCGGACTGTGGATGAGTTGGTAAGTTCTGGAAATCAAGATGACGGCCTTGTTAATGGTGAAGTAGATACCCCCATAGAAGAAGAAGAGAGAGGGCCAGACGAGGATGACGGGCAGCCAGGGACCTATGGGATCGCCCTCTACAGATTCCAAGCCCTGGAGCCGAATGAGCTGGATTTTGAGGTAGGGGATAAAATCCGAATTCTGGCGACCTTGGAAGATGGCTGGCTGGAAGGCTCGCTGAAGGGCAGGACAGGCATCTTTCCTTACCGGTTTGTGAAGTTATGTCCTGACTCACGGATGGAGGAAAACATGGTCCTGCCTCAGGAAGACAACCTTGCCAAGATCCCTGAAACTTCTCTGGATTGTTTGGAGGACTCCTTAGTAGTAGAGGAACAAAGACATGAATCTTGTGAGTATGAGGCAGAGAAGTCCAACTATGTTATTTCCGAAACATCCACCTCTCCCCTAGGTCATCTGACTTCCGAGTATGAAGCAAACATAAACTCTTACCAGGATGAAGGCACCTCAGGAGGGCCCCCAAGGAGCCCAGGTTTGGAGCACGAAAAGCCTCTTGCCAAAGACTCTTCCATGACTGACCCTTTGGAGGTAGCCAATGGTATTTCCTCCCAACCTCAGGTACCTTCTCATCCCAGACTGCAGAAAAGCCAGTATTACTCTACAGCCGGAGGGAGCCACCCACGCTCAGAACAGTACTCTGACCTTCTTCATCTGGAAGCAAGGACTAGAGACTACACCAGCCTACCTCCCAAAAGAGCGTATTCCCAGCCGAACACTCTTCAGAGGCCGGTGCCCCCTCTTCACAGGGGCTCCTCACTTTCAGCCTCAAGGGTCATTAAACCCAGCCAGTTGAGCTCTCAGCTCCAGGGCATAGCAAGGTGTGCTAAAAAGCACCTTATACCCAAAGAAAATGTGTCCAGCTTTTACTCCGCATCAGAGAGATCCGAGATGAAGCCTGGTCCACAAGACAAGGGGCTCGCTGTGGAGGCAACGACGCTTTCACAGGGAGATGGCGGCGTTGACCTGGATTCTAAGTTGACACAACAACTGATAGAGTTTGAGAGGAGCCTGGCAGGGCCTGGCACAGAGCCAGACAAAGTCTTACGCCACTTTTCCATCATGGACTTTAACTCCGAGAAGGATATTGTCCGAGGTTCCTCAAAGTTAACCACCCGGCAGGAGCTGCCCGAGAGGAGAAAGGCCCTAAGGCCACCGCCACCCCGTCCCTGTACTCCAGCATCCACTTCTCCCCATCTGCTGGTTGACCAGAACCCGAAACCTGTGCCACCCTTGGCCGTGCGACCCTCTCGCCCAGCTCCTCTGCCTCCCTCGGCACAGCAGAGAATGAATGCAGGATCCCCCAAGCTCCTGACCCGTCACTGTCCTGGCTGTGAGACCCTAGAGAAGGAGGGCCCTGAGCACATGGACAAGAGTCTGGACCAAACTTCCCCCTGTCCCCTAGTTTTGGTGAAGATTCAGGAGATGGAGCAGGACTTGGATATGTACAACAGGGCTCAAGAGGAGCTAAACTTACTGCTGGAGGAGAAGCAAGATGAATCATTAAGGGCAGAGACCCTTGAGAATCTCGAGTTCTGTGAGAGTAACATTGAAAGTTTGAATATGGAACTCCAGCAACTTAGAGGTAAGTGATCTGGGAATAACATATACTGGTTTCTTGATACTCAAGTCTAGGTAACAGCCTACCCTTGTGTTTTAGGGGTATGTTACCATCTTTGATCAGCAAAGAATGATTTACATTTTTACTACCTAATTTTCTGTTCTTTCACCACAATTATTAATGGATTGCTCCGTCTTGATACATTCTATGACCATGGTAGCCTCCTGACTTCATTCGCTGCTCAGATAAGGAATCTCAACCGTCAGAGATGTTATACCCCTATTGACATTTATACCTCTTGTACTGTTACAGCATCCACAGCAGTTATGCAGATGGGGGTTCCCTAAATATAACTTTCTCTAACCAGGCTCTATTAAGGACTAGACTTCCAGGCTAAGACTCATGAGAAAACTGTGTCGTGTATCTTTGTGGTCCAGGGACTAGATTTCATCAACAATAATAATAGCTAATATTTATTAGCATATTAGCCCAGCTGCCTTTGCTTACACAAAGAATCTTCATAGCCAGCCTAAAGGTACAGGGACTATTCACATGGGAACTTTATAGATGAGGAAACTAACGCTTAAAGAGATTAAGTAATTTGCCAAGGGAACTGGGATTTAAGCTTATGTTTTTAACTACTACAGTTTACTGCTTCCTACCTTGCACATTCAGAAATTCAAATTCTGTCCCTTAATTTGGGGATGATCAGCCTCTGGAGAAGACTTCATTCATATTCACCAGACTCATAAGAGAAATAATTCATAAAGTAGAAAGAGTAGGAGAGGGAGGCAAGTGGTCTAGGGCCCAGGGAGAACAGGACTACATGTCACTTTTGGCCTGAGTACCAGAGACCTCTGAGCTAAGATGTCATCAGGAATGTAAATAATAAAGAATAATCTGGGGATCTAGGACTAGCAGGACTCGAATAAGAAATAAGAGCAGAAGGATCACAGTCAAGAGAGCCTAGAGCAGGGTGGGAGACTGAGCAGGGTGGGAGACTGACTGCCTCCCCTTCCACCTTAGGTCTCTAAGAGTGAATGAAAAATATTTTTGTAACTACATAATTATTTTTATTTTTAATGTCCAGAGTGTATAATATAAGGGCCAGAACTTCCTCCCAGAGTCAATTTTATAAATTCTCCATTGGCTGGAGGCCACTAGGGATACTTCTCCTTGTCTAACTTGGTTTCTGGGAAGGCTTCATTCAAGTCCTTGATGGTCATCTGATCAAATAGAATTATGTTCTTCATCTTCTCCAACTGTTTCTCATATTCCTCAGTCTTGGCCTTCAAGAGAGACACCAACTGAGCACAAGTTTTCACATCTTCTTTTTCTTCAGCATCCACTTGGGCAGTATATTTATCCTTTGGTACAGGAACCTTCAGGGCATTAAATTTCTTCTCAAAGTCATCCACCAAGCCTGCCTTGACCACATTGGCCCTGTAGTAAGCCCAGTTAGTAGCTGGTGGATTCTCAGGTAGAGTAGCCAACCTAGGGTGAGGGTCTCATTCCAGGATTTCAGGGAATTAGCAATAGCCTTTTGGTTTTGGGATATGATCTCTCCAAAAGCTACCCAATCAATGGCTTAGGGCAAGTTTTCGCCCAGCCATCTTGGGATCCTTCACCGACCCCAACAGCCCACCAGTGAAAAATATTTAATAAAAAATTCCAGCAAGAAAGAGTTTTATTGGAATAATATAATTTTGTATATAATAATATAGATAATTTTATATAATAATATATAATTATTATGTATATAATAAAATTTCGAGTGATTTTCTGAAAGATGGAAAGCAGATGGTGTTGCAGAAAGAGAGGAAACCTCTGTCCAAAATATGCTCAGGAAAGGACTGCTGTGCACGTGGGCACAGTTCTAAGGGAACTACCGCAGACTTGGAGATGTGGCGACAGGAAGGTCCTAGATAGAGCAAACTCTGTGTGATTGATTAGGGGACAGCGAGGCAGCTGGGCCCTGGTCACTGTGCTCAACAGGACAGCCACAACGTTTACCCTCAAGCTACAGCACAAGGACAGATGCTTAAACGTCCCCAAAAAGGTGTTCATTTACTAGGAGTATCTGAGCCCTTGGGGAAATACCAGATACCTTGATTTCAGAGCGCCTGGAAAGGAATGCTGAGGGACCCTTGGCTGGCTGGGTGTTACGTCCCCAGAGCCACAGCAAACTCCAGCATTCTCCATCACTTCCCATACCTACAAGTTTCAAGATATACCTGTAAACCATTCTTGCATTAGACACATGGGTGGGAGAACAAAAGTCTCCCACATTCCAGGTGGCAGGAATTTTCCAATATTCCCAATAAGGACACTTTTTAGAATGAATAGTGTTCCACAGAAATGTTATATCTTCTGTGCTTAAGAACACTGTGCAGTGTCTTTAAATGGATAAATGGATTAATGGACTGGTACTGTGTGATGAGACTGGTGGGTCTTTTTAATTCACCTGACCTTCTTTTTCAGGACTAGTTTAATAATTCAGACTGTGTGCTTACTATTTTTTAAACTGCTAAATGTTTCATACTGTGAAAGACCTACAGTAGGTGGGTAGAGTCTCAATCAGGAAAACTTTGTAAAATCCGAATCCACCAAATACAGCTCTGGGTATGTTAATGTTGACTTGATTGATTTTTCAGTAGATGTATTGTTTATATCTATTGCTAATATGATGAAATTATTCCTTGTAATCACGGACAATTCCTCTCAAGGTTATCTTTTTCTGTCTTCATAAAAGCTGTATCTAACAATATAAGCAGTCCCTCAAAAGAGGTGGAAGTTAATCACTTTGATTATCTAGACTTTACTCCTCTAATCTACTTCTGTACAATCTCTAATCTTGAAATTCTAAGGCCTGAGATTTAAAGAACTTTCAATACAGCATTTACCTAATCTGATCAGTATTATATTTGGTTGTTTATTTGCCTACTGAGAAGAGAGATACTACCTGTTAGCGTGTGATTTCCTACATACCTGGTGTGGTGTTCTACACATGAGAGGGATTCGTTAAATACCTGATCAATGGAATTTTGTTTAACTGGATGAAATTGGATTGAATTGCCTGCTCCATCTCCCAGAGCTTTCCGAGATCTCCTCCCTCTGTTGTTACTTTGAGTTGGCCTACTGGGGAGCTGGCACCTGCCAGCACAGAGATGCCACCCCGCTTCTCAGACACAGTTAATGTAGCAGAATAGTCCAGTGCTGTGCCAGACCCACAGTGAGGTTCTTTACTGTAGCTATTGCTCCTTTTTAAGATCCTGTAATTATGAAGTCATGAGCACTCATTTTCTAGAAGCTCTGTTTTTTTTCCTATGTGGTATGTTAACCTTTTATAGTTTCCTGTGTCCCATAGGTATCTTTCACATGGCAAGCATAGTTGTTTTATAGTCTATGTGTGATTCTAAGGTATTCAGTCCTAGTGAGACTGTCTTTAATGTCACATGGGCCTGGTTCATGTGATCTAGACTCTGTGTGTGTCTGGGTATCTTTTACTGTGCCCTGATCGTAGTACTTGGAAAATTTCATCACCTGAGATGATGAGATAAAGGCATCTGACTCCACAGGGGATTTGCATTCGTTTCTGTCACTCACTTGTGGTCAGCTGATGTTTCCAAATTCCTGAAAGTTAGTAATCTTTGGAATTCAGGGACAAGAAATTGAAATTCCTGATGATTCCTAAATTATAACTTACTCTGTAGTTTATTAAAACTCTTTGTTTACACGTTCTTAAATAATAGTAGTGACCATGATCAATAGCAAATACTTTTCTTATGATAGGATTACACTAAAATTTTCAGAGGTCATGTATTTATGTATGAAATAAATGCATGATGTGTTATTACTATCAACCAAAATGTTGTGATATGATTGTATATTTTCATAACATGTAAAATGTTCTCTACCTGATAGACTTTTTTTTAAAAGACTTGACTTTTCTAGAGCAATTTTAAATTCACAGCAAAATTGGGAGGAAGGGACAGATTTCCCATGTACCCCTTGC